GATGACGGTGGGCGGGTGTGTGGGCGGGTGGGATGACGGTGGGCGGGATGACGGTGGGTGGGTGGGTGTGCGGGTGGGATGATGGTGGGCGGGCGGGATGATGGTGGGTGGGCAGCCGAGTGCAGGCAATAAATGTTGGACATCCCTTCAGTGAATTTAAAAAAAAAGTGGGGAAAATAATGTCGGTGTGAATTTAATTAATCCAACAGCCTGTTTGCACTTTAACAGTCTCTGTCGAGGTTAATGTTGCCATCTTGATAGCCCCACAGCTGACTTCAGAGTAAATTGAAAGATGAAGTTCACCCAAAAACCATGGTGTCCGAGTGTATTTGCAATACCAAATAGATACGTGCTAATCATAATGTTCACTCTTTTTAAATACTTAATTCATTTTAATTGAGAAGTTCAGGTTTTGTGGTGAATTTTGAAGGAAAATCTGTCTGTTAATGAGGCCCAAATTTGGGCCCATCAGTACTAATTGGTGGTACTGCCTTTCTGATTTGTCAGTACTGGAAGCAGGCCACCACCACCTTGCTCTCTTGCATTGCTGTGGTTTAGGACAACTTAGAGTTGAAATCATTCTGTAAAAAATGTAAATATGTTTTTGTCTTCCTAAACCTTTATCTAGGAATCCAGGGAAACTGTAACCATGAATAACTCATTGGATAACACTATGTCATTCGAGGAATACATTCGATTGAAAGCACGTACTATCCCCCAACATCGAATGAAAGAGTTCCTGGAATCACTAGCTGCCAAAGGACCTGAAGCACTACAGGAATTCCAGCAGGCCACCATGACTGTGTACCAGCAGGGTGGCAACTGCATCTATACAGACAGCACTGAGGTGGCTGGCTCCCTGCTTGAGCTTGCGTGTCCTGTAACGTCAACTGTACAACAGCCAGAGCATCAGATCCAACAACAGGCACAGCAAATCCAGGTGTGAGCACAATGTACATTTTCTAACTGCAGAGATTTTTATACCATGTTTTTATATTTGGATGATATAGTGGGAAATTGAATTTAAAAATTAATTGTAAAAATAACTAGATATAAAACTAAGGCTGCAGGTCAGACTCATGTGTCCTTGTCTGTTGTGTGGTCAATGTACACACAGGAACTTTTCCAGTGTTTGCAGATGTTGCCAAGTGACAGCAGATAAATGGAAGTGGGCATTCACAAGTACATATCTGGTTGGGGTTGGGGGACAGTTCAGAAATAAGTTGAAGAATTGGGAGCCAAAACTATTCCTGGAGATTTGCCTATGATTGAACAGTCAAGAATAGAACCTAGCAAAGGTGTACTTAACTGGTCAACAGAAGGACAGGCCTTTGCGGAGAAAACTTGGTGGCTGGGGTAGATTATTGAAGAGGACTGATAACAGTAGTGAACATGGGAAAGGACAGTACCTGAGGGGTGGAACCATTTACATTATTTTTGATAAAGCATACAGACCAATAAAGATTGCTTCGTTACAGAAAGCAGTAGAGAACCCCTGGCCAATTTCTCAATTAGGGCATTGATTCTTTTGACCGTCCCGTTAAACACATAGTAAATCTCTCTCACCATGTATTGTCTGAAAGCGAAGAGTCTGTCCTTACACCCTGTGCCAACCTCCCACATCAAACAGGAAGAGTTATTTGCTGACTTTGAACTCTTTTACTGGGGTATGGTGGCATGGAAGAAAGTAAAGGCTTGGTGAGGAATTAAAGCTGGCATGAGGAACTGGTTGAGTGGATTGTTAGTTGCAAACTTAGTTGTGAAATAGGGGTCCAATGTTGGCAACCTGACATCACTGCCACTAACTGTTTTCTTTTGACAAAATCATTCAAATGTTAATCACTTATGTTTCATTATAGTTCCAATGCTGGAAATGTCTTGCCTCAACTTTACAGTTATTTGTTTCAGTGCCTAAAAGTGTGGAATTAAGAGTCTAATGACGACCATGAATCCATTGTTAATTGTTGAAAAAATCTATCTGGTTCACTAATGTCCTTCAGGGATGGAAATCTGCTGTCCTTATCTGGTCTGGCCTACATGTGATTCCAGACCCACAGTGATGCGGTTGACTCTTGCCTGTCCTCCTGAGGCAATTAGGGATGGGCAATAAATCTTGGCCTGGCCAGTGATGCCCATATTCCATGAACGAATGAAAAAAAAGTCACATTCCCTGTTGTTTCAACTTGAATACGTTTCAATACTTTTCTAGCTTGTTACCTGCTTTCGTATTTATAAGCTAAAACCTGTGGCTTCCATTAGCCATCTAATTTTTGGCCCAGCATCAACCTTCTGACAAATGTTTGGGAAATCATTGGTCTTGACAAAATAGCGTAAGCAATCATTGTATGCTTCACTGAAGTGTTTGCAAAGCAATTTTGGGCCTGATAATAGGAACAGAAACTTTTACTCTGTTTGCATCTTTGTGTGCATTATATCTCCCTGTGAGCAGCTGTTGTCAGTAATTTATACCCTGTAAACATTCACTGGGCAACAGGTACATAAATAACTAGATGATCTGCATTTACTGGTGGTGTTGAGCAGTGCATAATGGTCAGGATAAATAGTGCCATGAAATCTTTTGTATCGCCTTGTTTCTCAACATTTTAGGTGACTTTGGAAAACAAATCATTCTTTCTTTTGCTACTGTGCCAGTAGTTGTTAGATTTTTAATTACTCATAATATGTGAGTTGAATCTGCAATCTTTTGAGTTGGGTCATCTGAGACAAATTGACATGTCATTGGTTGAGACCAGAGCACCAAATGACTAAACTTCCCAGTTTGCCAATGGGTGTTTAAAGTGAAAAGCTATGACCTCTCCGGAGTTGAAATATGGTTCCTTTTAGAGGCGTTTTTGTGTGTGTGTGTGTGTGTATCTCTTTTCATTACAATTTAACAAAGGCTAATCATTTGTTTAGTTAAGGTTTCAGAAAATGCTCTTTACACAGTGATTGATATTTCACTGAACTGCATTTTTTGAACAATATATTGATGTCCTTTTAAGTCCTGAAGTGTTTCAGAATGGAACAGGAGGGGATCTTTGATGTGTTACTCACTCAGTTGAGACAAATGTGAATGAAACATTGTTTCTGGCTGAAACAGATTCCAAGTAATTGACTGCTTTCAATTTTGGTTTTTCTGATCCCAATGGTACAAGTTTTGATAGGTTGGCCCCTTTTTGTAAAATGTTAACTGTTTGAAATATCCAGCTGCTGAGTCTAATCCACCAGCATAACAAGGGCTGGAAATTTTGTGATGAGAATTCACCACCTGATTTCCCCCAAGCCTGTATGCCATTTACATCACTCTAATCAGGAATGTAATGGGATGCTCTCCATTTCCCTGAATGAGAGTGGTTTTAACAATACTCCAGAAACTCAATACCATCCAGGGTGAAACAGCCCACTCAACTGGCACCGCATCCACTCCCTTCTCACTTGCTTCCTCCACCACTGGTGCATAGTAGCAGCTTTGTGTACCATCTTCACAACGCACTGTAGTAACTTTCCAAGATTCCTTTGATAGCATCTCCCAAATTGCACCTTGTACCACTCAGAAGACCAAGGCCAGCCAGTGCAGGGATCACGGCCACACCGGAAAGTTCCTCACACTATCCTGAAGTATATGTCAGTTCCTTCAAAATCAAAATCCTGGAGCTCCCTTCCTAACGGTACAGCGGATGCAGCCACAGCATGTGGACTGCGGTGGGTGTTATATGTAGTTCACCACTACCTTCCCCAGGGCAGTTAGGGATTGGCAATAAATACAATGCAGCTAGCGATGCTCACATCCCTAATTCTCTTTCTAAAAAGAGTCCTGCACGGTACCATCTTGCAGGGACTGGTTTCAGACCCATTGACAATTCATTCATAGATATGAAAGCCCCTTGTAAGGACAGCAATCATTGCCCTGGAGAAGGTGGTGATGTGCCTCTGCTTTGAACTGTTACAGTTGTGTGGTGTAGGGACATGCACAGCGCTAGGGTAAGCAGTTCCAAGATTTTGAACCAGCAATACAAAGGGGCTGTACGTTGGTAGGACAGGCAGTGACTTTGCAGAGAAATGCCATTTGATAATTTAGGTATATTGGGCAAAGTGCCATATTTTGGCAGTTGGCATTAAACCTAAATGTATGGAGTGAGAGGCATGTTGGTAGGAGTAGCACGGAATGTGTATGGGAAACAATATAGTAATAGGTTGAAAAGAACAGATTGAAATATTGAGTGCAGATCATCTGATAGTTTGGTACCTTTGCTAAGAAGCTGCAACTAATGCTCAAGGTATTGGCTTTATTAATTGGACCTTTCAGTATAAAACAAAGGTCATTGCTGATCAGAACACATCTGGAGACATGCATCTAGTTTTGATCACTCCACGTAGTGGGTAATGAGTTGGGGGAAGGCCTGAAGCTTGCATCTGAACATTGGAGTGTCTCATGTTTAAGCAGTTCTTTTACATGCTTTGTTATTAGTACAGATTTGGTCAACTCAATTTATAAAATAATAAAGAGCCTTGGCAGCATGTCTCAATTGTGTGGAGAGCAACATCTATTTTAAGATAAAATAGAAATAGATGATCTGTGATGCATTCCCATTCCCTACCATCAAGAGGTTATTGAGGCAGAGATTGCAACATGGAAGCTATGTGGGTTTGAAATAACAGTTGGTCTGTCTGATGTCATGAACAAGTTTAAATCCTTCGGGTGGGAGAGAGTTTTTCCAGTTGCTGTTTACATTTATTGGTCATGGGTTTTTAAAAATCTTGCTCTTAAGTTTACATGACTGAAGGAATGGGAAGTGTTGATTCACAATAGTCCACAGTCACACTGCTTAATGTGTCACTCCTTTTCCTGCCCAACATTTTTGTGCGTATGGAGGAAACTCACTTTAGGCATTGGGTGACTTCAGCATTAGATTTGCTACAATGTTCAGCGTAGCCTTTCAGACATCATCTGATCAAGAGGAGAATGGGGGCAAAAAAGCAATTGTCATTTTCTTGTAGCTTTCATTTTGCCTTTATAGACTTGTTTCTTGGACAATCAAAGCAGTTGGCATTGACTGTTTATGGATATACCTCTTGTCTGGTTAATTCAACGAGGCATTAGATTGGTTGGAATTGTATTGTTTTACTTTCCTGTAATTTTTTAATGCAAATGCATTAGACTTGTTCAAGTGGCAAAGGCATATATTTTTAATTAAAGTGAGAGAAGTTAATCCAAAAAACATTAATTATTCAGCAAAAGCTTTCACGATTGTTCAGGTTCATTGTAGGATCCATTTTAAGTAAAGTTTTACCATGTATTAAACTTATTATTCTTCATCTCCGTTCATGTTTTTAAATGGCTGCAAATAAATAGCTAGGATGTTTTTAAAGGATAGAATTCTGAACCCTATTGCCAAATGAATGTGCTTGTCTTGTTTCTTCCAGGTACAGGTTCAGGTGCAGCAATCACCGCAGCACGTCTCCACACAACAGCTGTCTCCCCAGCTCCATCCATCATCTGATCAGATTCAGGTACAGGTACAGTCACAACCAGTTACTGCCCAACAGCAGCAGTCTTCACAGATTCAGGCCATGCATAGCCCTACCACAGCTCAGCAGCTCCAGGCCACTCAGATCTCTGTTCAGCACATTCAGCCTTCCCAGCAAATGCAAACCTCAGAAATCTCCGACGAACACATTCAGCACCAGCATATTCAAGCTCAGCTCGTCTCTGGCCAAACTCAACAAATTCAGATTCAAACAGTGAGCTCGCTTTCTCCCACTCAACAACAAGGATCACCTCGTGAAGGGGAACGGCGGTCCAGTACATCAAATGTACTCCAGCCAGTCAAAAAGCGCAAGGTGGACATGCCAATCACTGTTTCGTACACTATTACCGGGCAGCCTGTAGCCACGGTGCTAGCTATTCCACAAGGACAGCAGCAAGGGTATGTGTCTCTAAGACCTGACCTTTTGACAGTGGACAGTGGTCACCTGTACACAACAGCAGCTGGTACAATTACCAGCCCTAGTGGGGAAACATGGGCTATCCCCGTTTATTCTACACAACCTTGTACTGATATTCAGCAGCAAACTGCCACGCATGTAACCATCCCTCAGGAGGCCTACAATGTCGTGCAAGTTGGCGGTTCACCTACGGCTGTAGCAGCTGTGAAGTTGGAGGAGGATAAAGATAAATTGGTGACCTCTGGATCTGTGATGAAGAACTCTCATGAGGAGGTGGTACATACGCTGGCCAATACCATCTTTCCAGCACAGTTCATGAATGGCAACATTCATATTCCAGTGGCAGTACAAGCAGTGGGAGGTCCATACCAGGCACAGGCACAATCGATGCAGCTGTGGGATCCCCAGCAGCAACATCAGCCACAACAGCAACAACTACAGGTAAGAGAGATGAGCTGTTTGATTCTACGTTTTGAAAAATCACAGAGCAGTTGTGATCTGCCAACAGTGGGTTATGGGATTGCACAGGACAGTCATCAGTTCCACCATAGACTATGCTGAACTGGCTCAGGTAACTATTAAATGTCTTTTTATTAAAGAATATGCCAGAAATAAAATTAACTATTTTCCTTTGGTTTCTACTGAGTGATTTCCTCTTGTAAGTCTGTACACGTGGATGTTGGGCAAGGAGAAGATCAGGTGTGATCACTTCCCTGGGTCCAGTCCCCTGCTTACAACCTATTTTGAAACATAGAAAATATGAGCGGGAATAGACCATTCAGACATTTGGGCCTGCTCCACTATCATTGATCATCAAACTCAGTAGTCTGCTCCTGCTTTCTCCCCATAACCTTTGATCTCTTTAGCCATAGAAACAATACATAACTCCGTCTTGAATACATTTAGCGTTTGGCCTCAACCACTTTCTGTGGCAGAGAATTCCACAAGCTCACCACTCTCTGCCTGAAGAAATTTCTCCTCCTCTCAGTCCTAAACAATGATCTCTGGTTCTGGACTCCCCGGTCATCAGGAACGTGGTTCCTGCATTTACCCTGACTAGTCCCTTTGGAATATTATAGGTTTTTGAGAACATCCCCACCCCTCATTCATCTAAATGCCAGTGAATATAGTCCTGAATGATCCAGTCTCTCATCATATTATCAGTCCTGTCCTGCCCTCCCAGGAAACAGCCTGATAAACCTTTGTTGCACTCCCTCCATGGCCGGAAGATCCTTCGGGAAGGACACAATATTCCAGGTGTGGTTTCACAAAGGCCTTATATATATGAAGCAAGACATCCCTGCACCTGTACTCAAATCCTTTTGCTATGGAGGCCAGAGTACCATTTACCTTAAACTAAAATCGGAAATTGCTGGAAAAAATCTCAGCAGATCAGGCAGTATCAGTGGAGAGAAAGCAGAGTTAATGTTTTGGTTCCAGTGACCCTTGTTCAGAATACTTCACTGCACGCAGTACCTGCATGCTTACTTTGTGGTGTATCAGGGTATCCAGATCTCATTGTACACTCCCTGTCCCCCTTTCCCAATCTGTGTCCATTTAGATAATCTGCCGCCTTGTTTTTACTACCAAAGTGAATAACCTCACCCTTATCCACATTATGCTTCATCTGTCATGCATTGGCCGACTCAGTTAACTTGTCCAAATCACGTTGCATTTCCGCCTCCTCCTCTCACTTCGCTGTCCCACCCAGCTTTGTGTCATCTGCAAATTTGGAGATATTACATCTAGTCCTTTCTGGTTAGAGTGGCCGCCTTGGGAATTGCTTAATGCTGTAATCCAACAAGTGATTCTTTAATGACTAATGATTACTTCCCTTCAAGAATTGTATTTTTAACTTGAATCATACTGAGTTTAATGGGTCCAAAACTGGTTTACTGGTGAGTATTCAGTCATGATTGTATGAACCTAGGGGCAACTGGAGAGACAGAAAAAGATATCAAAATGACCCTGGAGGCATTGTAATAGTTTGGGTATTAAATAAGTACTTCTCATCTGCCCTCACTAAAGAGGGTGCATCTGAGAGGATTCAATGATTCTAAATGTTTAAATAAAGTTGGTCGAGAAATTATTTCAGATTAAAGGGGTGTTTAAATAAAGCAGATATTTAGAAGTTGGCAACTTTCAATGTAGAAGAGTAACCACCTCCAAATAGAATGTACCCAAGGCAAATTCTTGAGATACTTTACCCCTCTAGGTAATTTGACGTACACTAGGCACTGCTCGGGTCTGAAAGTGGTAGCCTTAGACCCATAGGAGAGGCGATGGCCTAGTGGTATTATTGCTGGCCTGCATGTGATTCCAGACCCACAGCAATGTAGTTGACTCTTAACTGCCCTCTGGGCAATTAGGGATGGGCAATAAATGCTGCCTAGCCAGCGACGCCCTCATCTTGTCAATGAATAAATAAATTAATAATTCATTATTGTATGCAGTACAGAGAGAGAGCCATGATCTGATCGAAATAGCTGTTGTCCTACAGAATAGTAAATTTCTTCAACTGGTGAAGCTAATCATTGGACACTGCTATTAGGGCAGCACGGTGGCTCAGTGGTTAGCACTGCTGCCTCACAGTGCCAGGGACCTGGGTTCAATTCCACCCTCGGGCAACTGGCTGTGTGGAGTTTGCACGTTCTCCCTGTGTCTGCGTGGGTTTCTTCCGGGTGCTCCAGTTTCTTCCCACGGTCCAAAGATGTGTAAGTTAGGTACATTGGCTGAGCTAAATTGCCTAAAGTGCAGGCTAGGTTGGTTAGCCATGGGAATGCAGAGCTACAGGGATAGGTAGGGGGAATGGGTCTGGGTGGGATGCTGTTCAGAGGGTCAGTGTGGACCTGTTGGGCGAAATAGCCTGTTTCCACACTGTAGGGATTTTAAGATCTATGATCGTTATGCAGTAGCACCGAGAGTATCTTCCACAAACAGGATGCTGCTGTCAAGTCGAAATGATGTTCTGCCTTCCATACAAATGAGCAATGAATTATATGAGCTTCAGACCTGGTGTAATGCCAGCTATATAGGATATAAATTCCAATGACTGGCAAATTGTGTCAAATAGTGCAACCTTTCATCTGTTCATAACAGTCAGAATACTGACTGTACTCAACCAAATCCGTGTTTACAAATCTTTGATCGTATTGTTTGATGTTAGCTATAATTCCAAGTTTGGACAGCATTTTCTGGACAATTCTGAGTGTGCGGAGAATTTTTTTAAAACTAAAATCAGTCAGGCTTACAATGTGACTCACTTATTAGCAACTAAATACATTCAGACACAAGGATCTGTCCTCTGCAGGAACATGTCCAGTTATTGCATCTGAAGAGTGAGGGAGTTGTAATTCTTTGCTGCATTTAAGTAGCTAGACAGTTTTTGGAGTAGCTCCCTGACATTTTGAAGAAGGGTCGCTGGACCTGAAATGTTTGCTTTGCTTTCTCTCCAGTGATGCTGCCAGACCTGCTGAGTTTTTCAGGCAATTTCTGTTTTTGTTTCTGATGTTCAGCGTCTGCTGTTCTTTCTTTTTTCTATATTATTGTGGATCTTGAGTTACATGTAGACCAAAAAAATCGGGTGTGATAGATTTCCTTCCCTGAAGGAAATTAATGAATAGTGAATAATTTTTATACCAGTTAATGATGGCTTCACGGTCTCTGTTCCAGATTTGTAAATTTAGTACAGCATTTTTCTTAGCCTCTGGATCGTATGTCTAGCGACATTTCTACTACATCATCATCATCATCTTCATCATACAAGGCTGTGGGCCAAATGCTGGAAATTGGAATTAGAAGAGTTAGGTACTTGTCTTTGGTGTGGACTCGATGGGTAGAAGAGCCTTTTACTGTGTTCTAGACCTCTAAATTTATATCTTCCCATTGTGCTTGCATTTGTACCTGTATATAACAAAATTGTGGGATTCATATTTTGTGGCTTTTCTAATTTTGAAAAGTAATAACCTACTATCATAGGATTTCAAACATCCTGAGGTTGTTGACTTGAACGAGATCAAGCCAGCTCGGCGAGCAAGTCAACAACCTCGCCCACAACCCGAGCTACAGATCTTTGCCAAAACTTTCGAACATCTTCTTGAGGGGAAAACAACTTGCAAAATCCTGGTGACTACAGGTCAGCAACCTGACTCTGTAAATATGAGGGAAATAACTATGTAATTCCCTTTTGAATGTCTTCATTGTGGTAGTGAGCAATGCATTGCCGATTCTAAGCATTTAGTGAAATGTTTTTCCTCGTCACTTTTAATAGTTAATATTAATTTGTCCTTTTATTCTTGATCCATTTTATGGGTCAGATTGTTTATCTGTGTTTATTCTGTACAGACTTCTCCTGATTTTGAATATCCAGCCTCGTCTCCAGGGAAAACAGTCCCAACTTCTCCGATCTTCCTTCATATCAGGAGTGTCTTGTTCCTGTAACCATTCTCGTAAACTTGTTCAGCACTCTTTCCAGTGCTTTCATATCCTTCTTTCAGTGTGGCGCCCATAATTCTACACAGCACTCCAGCTGAGGCCAAATTAGTGTCTTTATACATGTTCAACATCACCTCCTTGCTGTTTTCCTATGTCTCTGTTAATGAAGCCTAGTATCCTGTTTGTCTTATTAACTGCTCCCTTAATCTGTCCTACCATCCTCAAAAAACTATGCATAGACGTAAAACAAAGTTGCTGGAAACGCTCAGCAGGTCTGGCAGCATCTGTGAAGGGAAAAAGAGTTAACGTTTCGGGTCCAGTGACCCTTCCTCAGCACTGTTCTGAGGAAGGGTCACCGGACCTGAAATGTTAACTCTGTTTTCTCCTTCGCAGATGCTGCCAAACCTGCTGAGCTTTTCCAGCAACTTTGTTTTTGTTCTTGATTCACAGCATCCACAGTTCTTTTGGTTCTTATGCATAGACATACTGAGGTTCCTTTGCTCCAACGCCCCTTTAGAGTTTACCCTTTTATTGCACTGACTCATGATTTGCTTCATAGGAAAATGTATTACCTTACACTTTACTTCAGCTGTCACCTATCTGCCCACTCCTCTAGCACATCTATGTCCTTTTGAAATTTTATGCTGTCCTCTTCATAGTTTACAATGCTTCCAAGTTTCATTTCATTAACAGATTTTAAAATCTATGTCCTGTGCACACAGGTACAGGTTATAATTATATATGGGAGAATAATTGCCAGGAATTGGAACTTATTTACAAACCAAATTCCTTGTATTCAGAAAGAGTTCTGCTGTGTAACACATTTCCTGCTTGTTTCATGCAATAGCATTTTACCAAGTAATTTTTTAGATTTGTAGCTATGAATTTTAATGGCTGTCCATGCAAACTTATCATGCCTTCCAGTTTGAGCTGAGTGCAAAATATAGGATGAAACTATCTCATTCATTTATAAGAGTGTTAGTAAGCTAACTGCTAAACACCAGGTGTCTCTACTCTACAAGAGCAGTCTATGCATTTCCAAGAAAAGAGTTCTGCTTAAAATCCAAAAAATGAGCAAATGAAAAAGTACAGCACAGGAACAGGCCCTTCGGCCCTCCAAGCTTGTGCCGACCATCGTGTTCTAATTAATCTAAAAACAAACCTGCCATTTTTCAATCCATATCCCTCTATTCCCTCCCTATTCATATACCTATCTTGGTGCCTCTTAAATGTCTTCAATGTGCCCACTTCCACCTCTCCTGGTAGTGCATTCCAGGCTGGTACCACTCTCTGCCTGAAAAACTTCCCTCGCACACCTCCCTTAAACTTTCCCCCTTGTAATTGAAACTTCAACACTGGGAAAGTGCCTCTGACTATCCACCCTATCTATGCCTCTCATAATTTTGTAGACCTCTATTAGGTCTCCCCTCAGCCACCATCTTTCCAGTGAAAACAATCCTAGTCTTTTTAACCTTTCCTCATTGTCAATGCCCTGGAGACCAGGCAACATCAGGGTGAACCTTCCGTGCACTCTCTCCAAAGCTTCCACATTCTTCTGGTAATGTGGTGACCAAAACCGCACACAATACTCCGAATGCGGCCTAACAAGAGTTTTGTATAGCTGCAGCATGTTTTGGCAACTGTTGTACTCCATGCCCCGGCTGATGAAGGCAAGCATGCCATATGCCTTCTTAATCACTTCGGCCGTCTGTGTTGCCACTTTTAGGGAACTGTGAACCTGTACGCCCAGATACATCTGAATGTTAGTGTCCCTAAGGGTCCCTGCCATTTACAATATAATTTGCACCTAAATTTGATCCTCCAAAATGCATCATCTCACAATTGTCTGGATTAAACTCCATCTGCCATTTCTGTGCCCAAGTCATCAGTCTATCTATATCCTGTTGTATACTTTTACTGTCGTTAGCACTATCAGCAACTCCACCAATCTTCGTGTCATCAGCAAACTTGTTTATCAGACTACCCACATTTTCCTCCAGATCATTTATATATACAACAAAGGATCTAAGACTGACCCCTGTGGAACACCACTATATACTGATCTCCATTCCGAAAAACATCCTTCCACCACTACCCTCTGTCTTCTATGACCAAGCCAGTTTTCTGTCCATCTAGCCAGGCCACCCCGAATCCCTTGTGATTTTAGTTTTTGTACCAACCTGCCATGTGGGATTTTACCAAATGCTTACTAAAGTCCATATAAACTACATCCACAGCCCTTCCCTCATCAATTATCCTCGTTATTTCTTCAAACAATTCAATTAGATTGCTGAGACATGACCTTCCCCGGCCAAAACCATGCTGCCTGTCACTAACTAGTCCATTTTCCTCCAAAATCGCGTATATCTTGTCCCTCGGTATCCTCTCCAAGAGCTTCCCCACCACAGACGTCAAGCTCACCGGTTTATAGTTTCCTGGATTATCCCTGCATCCTTTCTTAAACAAGGGAACAAAATTTGCTAATCTCTAGTTGTCTGGAACTTCACTCGTGGTCAACAAGGATGGGAAGATATTGCCAATGCCCCAGCTATTTTCTCCTTGCATCTCTGAGTAATCTGGGGTAAATCCCATCTGGTCCTGGGGACTTCTTTTTCTTAGTGCAATTTAGAATTCCCAAAACTTTCTATTTCAATATGTTGACATTCTCTAGAGTATTCACACATACATCCCTGACCTGAACATTAGTCATGTCCTTCTCCTTGGTGAAAACCAATACAAAGTACTCATTCAGGATCTCCCCCTACTTCCTGTGGCTCCACGTATAACTTCCCTCCTTAGTCCTTGAATGGGCCTACTCTTTCCCTTGTTACCCTCTTTCTCCTAACATATGCATAAAAAGCTAATGGAGCAAGATTAGTTTAAAATAAAAGTGAAGCTCAAATAAATAAATCGTTCCTAGGGCCTAATGTATTTGGTGCTTACAAAATAAAGCAGCTTGAAATACATAGCAAGTATTTGATTAGTCTCATCCAATTTTCTGTTGTTATTGTTCAAAGGGAGTGAATGTTTCCTAATTTATTACGGTATTGTAATCGTCCTAAAAGCATTTTCCTTTTCGTCTCCAGCCCCAATCAGTGCAGGTGGCTGAGGTGGAATCTCCACCTCCACCACCTCCAGAGGTGCTTCTCCCAAATACCTTGAAACCTGAGGAAGGCCTTGGTGTCTGGAAAAGTTGGGCAGAGACCAAGAATGCAGAGTTTGAGAAGGACTCGGAGAACAGGCCAGCTCCCATTGGTAGTAAGTAGCATCATAGCTGAAATAACCGTGTCAAAGAATGTTGCTCAGCACTGAAATGCAACAGTGTTTTGGGTTGGAGGAGTGATACCTCAGACATCTGGGGTTAAAAACCTCAAGGGAAACCTTCAAACTCTGGTCAAAGTTTCAAGCCCTATCCATTTGGGCCTACTATGGTTTAGACCTACTACCAAAGATCTTCCTGCCTCTCTGAATCAAAAGGTTGTTTAGACCTGCATTAGATGACTGGAAAACACACTCCCTACACACAACCCCATGGGACAGCAGCATGGTTAAAAGTGCCTCACAAGACCGAACGATTACATTTGAACATGCCTGTATGTGTCATATATTCTGACTTATTACATGGCTATCAGCTTGCTCACTGCACTAACATACATGATGATTCTGTTAACACATTAAGGGGTTTTATATGAGCAGAATATCTTGAAGACATTTCTCAAAGTAGGGAAATATAAAAATTTGGCTAGACTAGTGGGTGTTCAATTTGGTCAGGTATTTCCAAAGCTCTAGCTGTTGTTATTGAAGAGTTCAGTATTGAATTTTTTTTTTAAAAGAACAAATCAATTGGGGAAATTCAGAATAGTTGTGTCTCATATGCGTTAATATTGAATGTACAGGGAGGGCACAGACTGATACCTTCCTGCCAAGCTCTCTGGAAGTCAATGGTTATGCATTCCTAGGATAATTTGTCCTTTTTGTCTGATCAGTGATGAAAACAGGTGGCTGCTTTTCCTTCATTGAACTCTGGCTTATCTTTTTATTTCCACTGTTCAATCTTTAGATAACTAGTAGGTTGTTTTTCCTTCTGGATTACATGGGACACAGTCCCGTCTTCAAAGCTGAAAGCAGTTACAGCTTCTGTGCAATGTTTTACATTTAAAAAAAATTGTTATAAACTCTTGTGTCCGCAGGCAATCTTGTACGCCGCACTGTTGTTTCTTCAACTTTTGCTTGCTACCCTGATTAGAATTTTTTGAAATAAAAAAAGCTGAAAATACTGCCGAAGTTGTTTGCAAAGAGAAAGTGTTAGCATATAGGTGAAAGTCATTTGGTCCATTTTTTTTTTTGTGGCCATTGTTTTGGGGAAAAACCTTCCTACCAAAATGTTGACCTGGCTTTTTCTCCCTTTAGATCACCTTAGAAGAGTCAGCATTTGGTGAGATGTGAAACAAATTCATGTATTTGTTCTGTGTAATTTCCGAACTGAAAAGCCATTCCAGTGTATCATGCACACCTATCTTCGTTGCGTGTCAAGTAATTTCAGTGTTATTGAGACTGTAGAAGTTAGTGAGTCAATATGCTGGGTAGTAATGCCATTTTCTTCCCCTCCAAGGACGTCAACCATTACGCTTCCAGGAAGATCTTCTGTCGTCAGCTGTAGCAGAACTGAATTATGGGCTGTGTCTTATGCTAAAGGAAGCACGAAATCCAGAGGGTGAGGCATACAACCCTGACATGGTGTACTACATATGTCTCTGCATACAAAAGGTACAACTTGTTGTCTGAATATGCACATTGAAACCCTAAATTTACAATCTTTGCCACTCAGTAGAAGTTGATTGTCAGAATGGTCTATGTGTCTACCTTTTTGAGTGGGAAAGGATACAGAATGCCAATCCTACTATTAGATTACAAGGATTGTTTTCACATAACTGATGTTCCCAATGTACGTATTATTATGATCCTAGACCAGATCACACATTTATATTATAATCTGGCTAGCAACTATTCTTTAAAAGTAAGTAAAATGTGAGATCCAGGTACGTACTTAGAGAATGAAGGCACAAAATTCCACTTTTTTGAAGAACCGTTAAACTTTGTGTACAACTTGTAGTCTGACATCCAGAGTTAACATGAGACAAACATGGGTAACAAACTGGGTTTGAACACCTTTTTATAGGGCACGTCAAATAGCAAATGTGATCAAGATAAATACCGTACATTTGTTGTGAGCCTCCAGATGTTGATGACGCAGTGGGTCATGAAGAATTAAGAGATTGCGATTGTTCACTTTTCATGAACTGGCCTCTAAATGCCTTCGAGAGCTGCTCTGTCATGGATCGCACATGTTGTGTGCAGTCACCCTATTTTCCTTGGTTCTGCTGCTCTGGATTCTGGAAGCTGCACTTACAGGGACAACTTTAGCTTTTTACCTATGGCTAGCTTCACCAAGCCAGCCTTGCCCTTACATTTTTCACTGAGCTCTAATCTGCTCAGATGCATCACGTGGCCATTTCTCTCTCTCGCTCACGCTGTCTCTGGCTTGTGCTTGCGCTTGCACCATCACACACGTAGCAAACAAACAGGCCATTCAGCCCTACTGCTGTGTCAACATTCTTCTACAAATTAACCTTCCCTGCTATTTACCTCAGCTTAAAGTTTTCGAGAAGATTTGTAGCTCGGGTTGTGGATGAGATTGTAGGTATGCTCGCTAAGCCAGTGGTTTGGTTGCAAACGTTTCGTTTCGTAGGTAACGACTGCCAAGCGTAAAGGATCCCATACCCAAAACCAGGAAAACCTGTGTAAGATACAAAATACTATGCAAGGACTGTGAGAAACACCACATAGGCCAAACCGGAAGAAAATTGACAATATGGACACATGAGCACCAACTAGCCACCAAGAGACACAACCAATTCTCACTTGTCTCACTACACACGGACAATGAGAGACACGAGTTCGACTGGGACACCACAGCCATAATTGCACAAACCAAACAGAGACACGCCAGGGAATTCCTGGAGGCCTGGTACTCTAACTGGAGCTCCATCAACAAACACATTGAATTAGAGCCGGTGTACAAACCACTGAGAAACAGAACCAGAAGTAACAACAAACACCCCAACAGACTGAGATATATAAATAACAAGTGGGACAGAACCCTGACACTTCACCAGAGACACACTGATGTCACCCAGCAGGGTGACGAAATGTTTGCAACCAAACCCACCAGCTCGGCGAGCATGTCTACAATCTTATTTACCTCAGCTCTTACTTTAAACATTTTCTCCTCCTTTCCATTTAATGTATTTATCCAGCAACCTGTCATTATTACATTGAAGGGATATGGGCCAAGCACAGGCAGTAGTTTAGTTTGGGATTATTGTCAGCATGGAGTCGATGGACCGAAGGGTCTGTTTCCGTGCTCTGTGTCTCTGACTAAATGGCTTTGTTCTGTGCTGCATCATCCAAGATTCTAAATGCCGTCCATGTTATTTGCCTGGAACTCCTGTGGTAGCAAGTTCCACATTCTCACCATAAGATCGTAGAATCCCTACAGAAAGAGGCCATTCAGCCTATCGAGCCTTCACCAACCCTCTGAAGAGCCCACCCAGACCTAGCCCTCTAACCTATGCCCATAACCCTGCGTTTATCTAACCTACCTAGCCTACACATCCCTGGACACTTCAGGGCAATTTCCCACAGCCAATCCACCTAACCTGCACATTTTTGGACTTGAGGAAACCAGAGCACCTGGAGGAAGATTACGCAGACATGGGGAGAACGTGAAAATTCCACACAGGCATTCACCCGAGGCTGGAATCGAACCTGGGTCCTGATGCTGTGAGGCAGCAGGGCTAACCACTGAGTCACCATGCAATATACTCAGCATCAGTTTTCTGGTGATTCTGATTTTCCAGAGTCCCTTCCATTTCCTGATATATTGTTGCTCCTAGGGTGTCGTTCATATCCAGTATAGTGAAGCTTGGCCCCTAGTGGCTGGAAGGGGAAAAGGGAGGAGGAGATACAGCAGAAGGTAACCACAAACTCTACAAGGAGAGGGAGGACAGGAAAAATACTTATGAGTGCGTCTCGCCACACAAATGCCAGGCAATGATCCTCTCTAATAAGACACAATCTAATTACCGCCCCTTGACATTCAGTCATGTTACCATCACTGAATCCCTCACTATCAACATACTTGGGATCGCCACTGACCAGAGACTCAACTGGACTCACCACATAAACAAAGTGGCAGGTCAGAGGCTAGGAATACTGCAGCGAGTAACTCACCTCCTGACTGTCCACTATTTACAAGGCGTAAAGCAGGAATACTCTCCACTTGCCTGGATGGGTGCAGCTCCAACAATACTCAAGAAACTCAACACCATCCAGGACAAAGCAGCCCGCTTGACTGGCACTACATCCACAAAATCCCCACTCTCCACCACCGACACTCCGTAGCAACGGTGTGTATTATCTACAAGATGCACTGCAGAAATTCATCAAAGATTCTTAGACAGAACCTTCCAAACCAACAAGCACAACCATATATTGCTGTTCATTCATTGTCACTGGGTCAGAATCCTAGAATTCACTCCCCAAGAGTATTATTGATCTATCTGCAGCAGTTCAAGAAGGCAGCTCATCACCACCTTCTCAAGGGCAGATAGGAACGGGCAATAAATGCTGGCCCAGCCAGCGATTTCCACAAGTGAGTTTTAAAAAAAAAACTCCCAGGGCAGCTCCCTACTGACCATATACCACTGAGCTACCACTTCTATTCTGCCGGTGAGACAGGACACATCCAGGGCTGGTGTTGGTGGTGTCTGGGACATTTAATATAAGATATGATTCCATAAGTATGACTATGTTGGGCTGTTGCTCAACTGTTCTGTGGGACCGCTGTCCCAATTTTTGGCACTAGCCCCCAGATACTATTAAGGGAGACTTTGCAGGGTCAACAGGGCTCTTTCTGTCATCTTTTCCTGTACCAAGGTCAATGCCAGGTGGTCTGTCCGGTTTCACTTTTTTAAGACTTTCTACCAATTGATGTAACTGAGTGGGTTGCTCAGCCATTTCAGAGGGCAGCTGAGAGTCAACCTTATTGCTGTGGTTGTGGAGTTCCGTATAGGCCAGATCAGGTGAAGCTGGCAGATTTCCTTTCCTGAAAGACCATTGAGCCAGGTGGGTTTATGTACATGTACAGATAGCAGAAGTATTACATGTATCTACTGCTGTTTTATGGAAAATATCTCATTTATTTCACTGTTTATATTTTAATTTTCAGTACCTGTTTGAAAATGGCAGGGTGGATGATATATTTTCAGATATCTACTATACAAAGTTTACAGAGAAGCTACAGGAGGTGTTGAAAGATTGGCAACCTCAGGTCAGCTCTTTGGGTAGGTGAATATCTAAGGGTGTATTTCTCTGTCCAGGAACACAAGAAATGGATATGGGCAACTTTTTAAGCGGTATAATTGTAAGTTTTGTTTTTTAAAACGGTACTTACTGCTGAACGAATCACAGTGAACAATACGTCCAAGTGGCATTTTTGTCAGGTTTTCGTGTGCAATCACCCAAGTAGACTACAGTTTACATTTCAGCGCAAAATATTGGTGGGGGGTGGGAGGAATTTAGAGTTTATCTCTTGAATGTGCAAACTGCATTTTGAATGTACATATGGGCTCTAGTAAGAAGTACATGTAATTTCCTCCTTGCTTTTTCAGAATTTTGAGATTATCTGAAATTGAAACTGCCAGAGTTTCTTCCAAAATAAAAAAAACTGAAAGAACTGTGAACGCTGGAAATCTGAGACAAAAACTAATTTCTGGATAATGTTAGGTTTGGCAGCATCTGTAGAGAGAAATAAGAGTTGACATTTCAGGTCGAGTGACCCTTTTTCAGAACAGTGAAGAAGGGGTTCTCAAGAAGGCTCACTGGATCTGAAACGAAGCTCTGATTTCTCCTCAGTTGTTGCCAGACCTGCTGGATTTTCCAGCAATTTCTAGTTTTGTTTCTTTGAAGGTACTTTGTTTAAAAAAAATGCCTCTTACTTCAACTTCACAGTGGCAGTTTTTGTTAATTGCATCTTTACGTTCTGTGCTGTAAATGTTAATTCAACAACTGGATCTAGAACTGACTGAATTATCTCTAGAAAAAGAATGTAAATCAAACATTAAAGGCAGCATTTGATATTCACAGCCTAACTGGGAGTTCAGCATTCGTGCCAATTTATGATACTGGAAAACAGTTTGTCAAGTCTGACAGTAAATGTATCACTTCCTTAATAGGTTATATGATCCCCAGCCACATCACAGAGGAGATGTTGTGGGAATGCAAGCAACTTGGTGCTCATTCACCTTCCACCCTTCTTACAACTCTCATGTTTTTCAACACCAAGTGAGTTTCCCTTTAAGTTATTTAACCCTGAAATTCCTCATTGCTGTTTGTTTATTTATTTATTTATTTCAAATATGAAGAGTCCACACGAAATATTCTCTAGTTTTCTCTTTCAGATGCTGTGAATCATTGATTATTTTAGCTTTTTGATACTGTAAAATTTGTATTTTTTGTTTGCATTTCTTTTAAAATTCACTTTGGGTGATGCTGGCAGAGCCAGCATTTATTGCTCGTTGCTAGTTGCCTTTGAGATTTTGGGCTGAAATGAGGAAGGAACTGTGTTTTAAAACCAGGCATTGTAAGGGTTTTTGCATGGTTTGATAACAAGTAACAGTGCCTTTTATAATTGAAGTATAACATCCTTCTGTGTTCAATTTCTCCTGTAATAAGCAGTCTTTGGGCACCAATGATCAGAAGTAGAACAATGGGGCTGATGACCCAAACTGCTTCCTTCATCATGCCTTAGGTGTATCTGTGTGAGCTTATTTTCTGATTTAAATAAAATTGATAGCTGCATATTCACTTGTTAGTTCCAAATATCTTCCACAAGCAAAGAACCTCTATCTTCGGCTGTTTTTATATTTCTACTGAACTTTACTAGAAATGTATTGACTTTTTAAATGAATGGCTTATTAAATCTTACTGTGCAAACAAGGTTCCATACGGTTCCAAAATCCACTAGTTTAAGGAATGCTAAATCAACTGTTAATGTAACAAGTTCCTGAAAAGCTGAGAATCATGGTCATTTTATAGGTGCACTTCATTACAAGAATGGTAACTTGTTTTGAACCAGAAAAGCTGCTTATATCATCAGTGCTGTTGTTTGAAAACAAGAAACATTTATTGAATGAGGAAATATAATCAGTTTCCTGTACCATCGGGACTGTGCTAACTAAAGATTTTAGTCTTTAATCTTTTTTAATACATGGTGCAGCATAAACAGTTGAGACAATGTAATTCTCCTCCCTTAAGCAGAATGTTGATTTCATCTCCACCTTGGCTCAGAGGTTAGCTTGGGTGCTGCTGAAGCTTAATATGACAAATTTCTGTTTGGGAAGCAAATGGTCTGTTTCTTGCAAACTGTTTGGGACAGGAATTAGGAAATTTTTACAGAACCTGACTGTCTCTCTTTCCAACAAGGTACTTCCTGTTGAAGACTGTAGAACAACACACGAAACTGGCATTCTCAAAAGTGGTGCGACAAACAAAGAAAAACCCTCTGAATCCCAAGGATAAAAGCACAAGTATTCGCTATCTGAAGGCATTGGGCCTGCACCAAACAGGACAGAAAGGTCAGTGTCTTCTGAGTTTAAGCTGTTAACAGCAGCAGAAAGCAGATTGAGGAAAATACTTGCATGTTTCACATATTTCCTTGTAAAAGTATGTAAAAGCAAAATATTGGAGATTCACTGCTTTTTGTAATTTATATAAATGATTTGGATGCAAACATAGGCATGGTTGGTAAGCTTGCAGATGACACCAAAATTGGAGGTGTAGTGGACAGTGAAGAAGGTTACCTCAGAGTACAATGGGATCTTGATCAGATGGGCCAATGGGCTGAGGAGCAGCAGATGGAGTTTAATTTAGATAAATGTGAGATGCTCCATTTTGGAAAGGCAAATCAGAGCAGGACTTATACACTTAATGGTAGGGTTCTGGGGAGTGTTGCTGAGCAAAGAGACCTTGGAGTGCAGGTTCATAGTTCCTTGAAAGTAGAGTAGACAGGATAGTGAAGAAGGCATTTGGTATGCTTGCCTTTATTGGTCAGTACATTGAGTGTAGGAGTTGGGAAATCATCATACGGCTATACAGGACATTGGTTAGGCCACTTTTGGAATACTATGTTCATTTCTAGTCTTCCTACAATAGGAAGGATGTTATGAAACTTGAAAGGGTTCAGAACAGATTTACAAGGATATTGCCAGGGTTAGAGCTATAGGGAGAGGCTGAATAGGCTGGTGCTGATTCCCTCGAGCATCGGAGACGGAGGGGTGACCTTTGTAGAGATTTATAAAATCATGAGGGGTATAGGTAGGGTGAATAGCCAAGGTCTTTTCCCCAGTGTAGCGTAGTCCAAAACTAGACGGCATAGGTTTAAGGGGGAAAGATTTAAAAGGGACCTAAGGGGCAGC